CCGATGGATAAGTAAAAATGGAAAATTTTTATAACCCGTTCAAAAGCCGACCCTATAATTCAGGGGCTAGCAAACTTTGGCTCCCGGGCCATCAGGATAAGCCGCTGGCGGGCCAAGATGGTTTGTTTACCTCGAGCGTCCGCAGGCACGGAGGTAAACCTAAGTAAACAAAGTGTCCCGGCATGCCAGCTGCTTATCCTGACGAGCCGGGACAGCAACTGGTGGGGAAACTTTTTTGGGGGGGAGAAGCTGGGAGTCAGGGGAGTAACCCCTGTGACCACCCCCCACATGACCCCATCCCTAGCCCGGGACCCCCTCACTCTCACCATCCCATCCCTTCCCACCTTATCTGGGGAGGGCCAAGGGAGGATGTCTCTGACCTGGTTGGAGCTGCTCCGGCAGGCCGGGCGGCGTGGCCGCAGTGTGCTCCAGTGGGCCGGGCGGCTGGGGGGAGAGCAGCATGGCCAGAAGCGGAGAGACTTTGGCCCCACCTCTTCCCTTCTGTCTCTGCTGGCTGTGCTGCCTGTCCTTGCTCCCTCTGTTGGGGGGAGGGGCTGTGTCCTACCTCTCCCTCTCTATACCCGTTCATAAGCCGACTCCCTTCTCTGGTGCTTCCCATTTTTACTAAAAAAAATTGGGCTTGTGAACGAGTAAATATGGTATTTGAAAACATCCAAAAATATTGAAATGTTATTCTATTATTGTTTAACAGTGTGATTAATCGTGATTAATGTTTTAAATCACACGACAGCCCTAAAACTAATCTAGATTCTTGGCTAGTGTAAATCAGTGCAGCTCTGTTGCAGGCAATAGAATCATGCTGATTTACATCAGCTGAGACTTTGGCCTGTTAAAAACATGGTTCCATCCTCCAAGAAGGATGTTAACTCGTAATCACACTTTTCTCTTTCTCTAGGTATGTCTCTATAAAACCTGATGATAGAAAGCTGATTAATGGAACTAATGTACTGGGCCTACTAGCTGACACTTTACTTAAAGAAGGATTTCACCTTGTAAGCACCAGAACAGTCTCCACCGAAGAAAAAGTTGAATGCTACAGTTTTGAAAGGCTGAAGAGGCCAGAAGCCCTTTTTCTCACTGCCAACCAAAGCCCAGAAAGCACTGGTGGAGCACAGATGAAGTTAACTCCAATGCACAAGCAGAAATGAAACCTGTTTCATTAATACCTACCCTTTTGAATCTGAGAAGAGACACATGTAGACACTATTAACCCTACTATTTTTTTTTATTTGAAATTGCAACTATTGAAGGTGGTAACAACTATCAAATTTTATATATTTCTTCAAAAATCAGTTTCCCTCCTTTTCCTGCAGTCATTTAATAGAGAAGCCAAGTTCTTGTTTTCCTCTATTACCCCTTTTCTGGAACATGGGAGAATACTGATGCAATATTGAATATGTAGTCCAGAATCAAGCAGTTAAACATGTGCAAGACAATTTCTAAAATGGAGGTGGGCATAATGGAAAAAATGAACCATACTGGGAATAAAGGGAGTCCCTAAATAAAGGTTCTTGCACTCATTGCAGGATACCGCAAAGGCCACTTGAAATATGACAAGAGCAAGTGAAGTAGTAATAAACAGGGCCCACAGAACCCTCTCTTCTCCTTCCTTTAGCAGGTTTTATAGAAGACTGGAGAAATCTAAATTTGAATGATTACAATCTATTTCTGCAAGCAAAAACTACAGAGACAATCTTTCAATTAGGTGAAAGCAGCATTGTGAAAATACCACAGATCATGCCCCGTTCCACTCTTTATCTATGAAACCACCATTAGTTTAGTGTATTCTCTCCTCTTGCAGGATCTCCAAGAAAAGAACCTATTAAACTGTCCTTCAATGCTCTGAACTTGATAAATGTAATATTAAAAAGGGTCTGCTATGCAATGCATGGCGGGCTGTAATGAAAGGTCAGTTAATTAGAAAAGACTGAATTGCTCTTCAGAAGAAACAAATAGGCTGGAATTCTTAACTAAAATAGTTCAAAGAACTTTTCAGCACTTGCCAAATGCAAAGAACAGTGAAGGGCTGGCAAAGGTGACTTTAAGACATGGTCACACTGCCAGACTGGCCTGCATCAGAAATTAGAGTAGCCTCTCGACTGCTCTGAAATTACTCTTGTTTGTAGTAGTTCTAGGAATGTGGGAGTGTAGCAGATTCTGGAGCCATCCCTTCCTCCTTGAAGTGTGTGACTATGCCAGGAAAGGGTGGTATAGTGGTGGACTCTTTGCTAATTAAGGATTTCCCCTACTCTGGTTAGGCCTATTAATAGCAACTTTCGGATGGTACAAAGGAGGTTGGGACAGGATCTGGCCCAATAGATCACTACTATTAAGGAGACATTACTGATGTGCCAAGAAATCAAAGACCATTTTGGATGTTTGCATCTATGTGGCTTCCTAGTACTGAATTTTCATAAAAGTTAATGTGAACATCTCCAGTCAAGAGGACAATCAATGACAGTAAGAAATGCAGATGTACATGACAACCCCTTTAATGGGCAAAGAAAGAAAATGGACTTAAGACTGTACCTAAGGTCTATAACCAAAACAATACCTGATTAAACAACAATGAAGTGTAGACTTAGGCCTGGTCTACACTAGTGGGGGGCGGGGGGGAATCGATCTAAGATACGCAACTTCAGCTACGAGAATTGCATAGCTGAAGTCGACGTATCTTAGATCGACTTACCTCCCGTCCTCATGGCGTGGGATCGACGGCTGCGGCTCCCCCGTCGACTCCGCTTCCGCCTCTCGCCCTGGTGGAGTTCTGGAGTCGACAGGGAGCGCGTTCGGGGATCGATTTATCAGTCTAGACGAGACGTGAAATCGATCCCCGATAGATCGATTGCTACCCGCTGATCCAGGGGGTTGTGTGGACATACCCTAAGACTAACTTTTAATAACCTTTTGTAATGGAAAATATTGTGCTGATTCACATACTGCAGAAATCCTGATAAGAATGTTTTATTTTCATTCTTAGTCGTGTTGAAAAATAAAGTTTAAAAAAAAAAAATCTAAATCAAGAGATGAAACTTTTCTTTTTTTAAGTACTTTCTCCCTTCTAGTGGATTATCTGTTGTCTTGACCCACTTGATCAGTCCAGGCTGATCATTTTAAAGAATTTTAACAAACCTTTTACTAGTGCAATTCCTGCTGGGCTAATAATTCTCAATGTTTCTGGGTCCTGTGGCTATTTAAGTGATGACCCACACATCAAATTTTGTTATACAGGGTTCTTACTGATGGTTGCTTAAAACCGTGTGTGTGTGTGTGTGTGTGTGTGAGAGAGAGAGAGAGAGAGAGAGAGAGAGAGAGAAAAGGAAAATGCATATTTGAAACACAAGTATTTTAGCCAAAAAGTGTCTAACCCAGTTTTCTATCCTGTAAGTACTTAGAGGTAGATGACCTTAGCTTTTGAAGACAATTTTGCACTAACATGGTTACTTCAATGGAAAGCATCTGTACAAAAAGTGATAGTGAAAGTGATCAGGCTAAAAATATTTTAACACTGGGCCAGCTTGAGACTGTGATTAAATGTCAGTAGTAACTTGAGGCAGAGGTGAAAGTGCACTACTATAAAATGGCACCTTCTTACTACAACAGCTCCCTGTTGGTGTAAATCACTATTGCCCTGTGTGGTCTGTTACACCAATGCAAAGTGGGTGCTTCCAATTCAGAATGATAGTTTTCTACACCCAGTGTGCAAGTGTGAATGACTACACAGGGTGCAGGGTAATGGTGAATCACAGTGTTTTCAGTCTTCTTACGTTAGTGACATTTTTACTGCTCTACTCCTTTCAGGGCCAAACCGATGCTGCTGCAGAGAGCGTAGCTGAGTTATGTATTTTTTTTTTCTGTTGCATTGTCAACAGAATTGTTTACACGGTTCCAGTTGGTTACATCTGGGCAGTCCTATAGATTGTGATTGCACAGGTATAAGTGAAGGTCTAATTGGGCCTGCAGAACCTTCGTGAAGGGTGCTGGTGTGTGGGAAGGGAAGAAGCCTGGTTGACTGAGACTGGGGCGACTTGGTAAACCTGCTAGCCAGAAAAAACATGCTTACTTGTAAACTGAGTTCTTCCTTACAGAAATTTTGGCGAGAATAAACAATGGCACAACACAATAGAATTCCTACTGTCACTTTTCCAAGCAGAACCACAGTGTGAGTTGACCAACCTGTCATATGCATCAGAACTAGGAATAGAACCCTGATCTCCTGAGTTGCAGCAGTCCCATCTTCTCTCTTTTTAAGTAAATGCGAATAGATTGACATATTTGAGCTGCTCCATTTTGTTTAAAATTGGAGTTTGTAGCCACAGGCTTCATCTCCTCTTCTGCCCTGTCTCCTAGGAGATGGTCTATATTGAAACTGATCTGGTCACAGCAAATAAGGTTTCTCCCCTTCATAGTAATGTCAATAAGTCGTCTTGAGGTGAGCATCATGCTGCATAGAAGGGGTTTGGTTTAAGTTACTGACACTCCCCCCCCCCTCCTCTGCAATTTTCCTCTAAATATAGCAAAATGAGTTGTAGACTGCCCTAAATTTTGGTATTCAGTAACATGTCTGGTGTGTCTGCAGACCTGAGGTGGCCCTGCAATCATGTCTGAGGGCTTGTCTACACTACCTCGTGGGGTCGATCTAAGATACACAACTTCAGCTATGTGAATAGCGTAGCTGAAGTCGACATACTTAGATCTACTTACTGTGGTAAGTTGACAGCTGATGCTCTCCCGTCGACTCCACTTGCGCTTCTCATTCTGGTGGAGTACCGGAGTCGATGGGAGAGCACTCAGTGGTCGATTGATAGACGCAATCAATCGACGACTCCCCCACCCCCCGGCTGGATCAATAGCTGCCCGCCGATCTGGAGGGTAGTGTAGACCAGCCCTGAGTGTTGAGGAAGTAGTGATCTTGCCTCTGCCCTTTTTTAAATAAGGGATCACTGGATATAAAGGAAATCAGACCTGAAACATGAGACTGCCTCCCATTCTTAGTGTAATCCACCCTCCATATTCTTCTGAGGTTTCATTAGAGAAATAGTAGATCCCTCTGAAAAGCAATAATGATTGGCTGTTAGATGTGCAAAAAGCAAATGCATAAGGAACACATCACATAGACTATCTTCTTCCCTTTTTAAAATCTCTGCTTCTATCTTTTCTTTATAATTGGAACTTGTCTAGCACTTTTTATGCAAGGCTCTCAAAGGGCTTTATCAATAATTAAGCTTTTGATGCTCTTGTCAAATAGGGTAGTATTCTCCCACTTTACAAGGGTGGATCTTTAGTGGTACATGCTTATTCTTTTTAAAAAATTGTTGTTGAATTCCTTTACAGCTCTGGGGAGTCCTTTAAAGATTTTTTTTTTTAATCTTTTGTGAGATGGGGTTGTCTATTTCCAACTTTTATATTCAATAAGCTGCTGATGCTAACTCAGGGAAAGTCTGCACTATAAGGTATTTTGTATCTCTAGTGGTAGCTTTATAGATACTGTATAAAGAATGAAAGCCCTTCAGGAATTAAGAAAATTGCAGTCTTGACTATCCTGTGCTCTGTGCATGTGCTACTGATTATTTAAAAATCCATTTTAACTAATTAAAGATTTTCCATGAGTTGGGAGAAAGAAAAGACAAATCATTCAGCTGGTTTATTTGCCATGCCAATGGAAAACTACCCCTCTTTGTACAGTTCTGAAACAGTTTTCACTTGCCAGCATACTTGAACTGCATAAGAAAACAATGAAGAATACCAGGCCATATTCTGGTATGTGACTATTTAACACATGCTGGGTGAAAGAATGATACCGTGATGCTTGCTTCCTATCCCCTCTCCTGCACACATGCAAAGAGAGGTTGGAACATCATGTTTCTAGGTACTAGAGTTGGAGGAAGCTTTTCTTGTGCAATAGACTTTCCCTTTCTGCTGTATTTTGCTTAGTTTCAATCTAAAGCGCTGAAAAGAAATTTATCTAATCACAGCGGGGGGTGAGCAGGGCTTGATCTGTCCTTGAAATGGACACAGCTGTGGTATATGCCGTACAGGCTAGCTGAGAAGTACTGTTCTGATCCAGTATGGCTTTTGCTTTTAGATGTAAGTGTGAGCTGTGAGTTAGAACTCTAGTCTTAGATCATAGTAATGCCTGTATAGTTTTGTAAAATTGTCAAGGAGATTTACACCCCAACTGCTGGAAAGTGGTATGGAATGTTAAT